CTCGCAGTTTTGGGGAGGAGCGTACCATTTCGCCACACTCTGTGCCATATATCAAAGCACGTCATGAGGGCGCCGTTGTGCCTGTGTCGAGCCTTGTCGCACAAGAACACACGCCATGCCTTCGGCTTCTTCGACGGCGTCGCCAGCTTGCAGTCACTGCAGTACATTGAGGAGTCCCCGCCACGCGCCCCATCTGTTCCCTTTAGCAATGAGCACACCTTGCATACCCGGGTCCGACGCTTCCTCCCAGCTTGGTTGTTACCGGGGCGCCACTCGTCGTTCTGGACAGGAATGTGTCCAGGCTGTTGCGTTCTCGACCGAGATCTTGACGGTGTTGCTGCCGCATCTTCGTCGTAAAGCAGTCCTTCCCAATCGTCGGGCCGCAACTGGCATAACTCCAAGTGCATCTGCTTGATAAACTTCACGTGACTAAGCTTGCGCTGTCCATCTGCAACGCGACGAGCATTGTAGATGATATAGGCATTGATGATGGCGAGATCGACAAGCCCTAGGAATAGGGATTTGTAGTACTTCTTGTACTTGATAGCAAGTTGCAGCGAGTACCTATGAAGCATGTGCATACACGTTTAGAACTCGAAGTAAGATGTATATACACTGTACGCACACTTACCTTTGTAAACGAAGCTGGTCGTGAACGTCCACTCCGCCCATGAGCGTCTGATAATCTTTCAGCACTCGTGGGCAGGCAACTTCACCCTGCTCGCCGGTCTGCTTGTCTCGCCGCACTACGCGATCCATTTCAACGCTTCCCCCGGATGCAAGCATATACACCGCTTTGTTATCCCACCAGCGCAGCGCCCGAAATCCAGGAATCTGCCGGTGCTCAGTTACATCAAACGTACCACGTTCGATCCGTGCTGGGCGATTTTTTATAGGCTTTTTCTTCTTCTCACCTTTCTTCTTTTCGCCAACAAGAGACGCTGGCAGCCCAAGACGATCCGTCTGCACTGTACCCACACTGTAGAAACCCATGGTTAGCATCTGCACTGCCAGCGAAACCGATGTGTAAAAGCGGTCAGTGACGATCAGCCTCATGGCACCTGTGCCGGGTCCTGTAGGCCCAAACACCTCCGTGAGATTGCGAATAACTGCTGCTGGCCCAGACATATAGTCTGTCAACGCGCCACTGACACCCGCATGTTCTTGTTTTCCACAGTAGACCTCAAAACTGTCCATACATGTTTACAAATGGGTTAGTATGTCAGGTACATGTTAAGCATACTTAGGAGCCAAAAAAAAGAGTGCTCCTGTTGGAACACTCGTAACTCACCGGATGCAATACGCCGTCGTTGAACAACACAGCATGAATAGCTTGGTTCCCCACTTATGAGGTTTATCTTTCATGAAGACTCGCATCCGATTGAATCTGGACCGTGATGGCAGCATGGCTTCGTCAAAAGCCATTGCAGGAGGTGGAATGTATCCCCCGCTGAAATCGCTGCGTCAAGGCGTCAATCACAGGTCGAAGTTTCCAAGCCTTGTCCAGCTGTGCACGTGCGTCGCTGTTGGAGCTGAAATGTAGGTTGCGTGATATGTGCATGAACCTATCACGAACCATGAACTGTCCGAAGCAACCTCGCGGGATTGCGCCTTCATCGGTCGTTTTCCAATTATGTTCAAGCTTTTCCTTGTTTGGAGAAATAGTTCGTGCTGCCAGTAGCCCTATAAATACGCACAACTCTCGGCCCGTGATGTCCTCCATCTTCTGCAACTCCAGTTTTATCTGTTCACGTTCTTTGGCCTTGAACTTCGGATGTTTGAGCGAGCGAACCACTTGTTTCTTGAGCTGACCTTCTACTCTCTCGTCAATGTTCTCAGCGAAGTAAGCATTGCTTGTATCTGCAATGGCCTCCCAAAGGGTTGGCTGGGCAAAATATAAGAAAGCTCCCAACGGCGTGCCCGCAGCGCGCAATGCCTCTTCCGTAGGCCCGTGAACACCATCATACAATCGAGGGTAATCGGTTTGCATTGATGTAGGAGACCGCTGCTCATACGGCTCCATCATATAATCGTGCGGCGTCTTTTGCACCAATGGTGTCCATCCCGTGTTAGCCATATCTCTGAGCAGGGCGCTCGAGATATTGCCCGATGCAAGTTGGTCAACACCCCCAACAGATTCCAGCAGCGCGTCATCGAACAGCAGATCAGGCTGTAGGCGCTCCTCATCCGGGTCCAGCTCAGATTCACCGTCCGCATTTAGCTCGTCGTCGTTTCACCCGCATCCCTCGTCGTCATCTCCATCCGAGTCAAGTATCGCGTACTTCACGAGGGTTGGTGAGGCATTCATATCACTTCGTGATACTACAATAATAGTCAATACAGAATGTACACGTTAAAACCACCTTGCAATCTTGTACATACATTTTTAACGGACCTGTGCCACAATTCGAATCATCTTCTTTCGTCTCTTCATCCGACATGGACGTATGTGCAGTCTGTCGTTGACGTCCCTCGCCAGTACTCGGAGCTTCGTCGGAATTCGCGAAGTCTCCTTCCAAGTTTCGCCGCGTTTTGGGCGACGTTGCTACAAGGAAAAACAGTGATACACGTTACTAAGACTTGTTCCAGTTGCGTATGTTGTACATACAGCTTCTTACCAATTGAGCTATCATTGTCAGAATCGCCTTCAGCCGAATCGTTGCCTCCATCTTCGTAGGTTGTGTCGTGCGGCGACACCCCATGAATAAAATCCGTGGGCGCACTTGTGAACGTCGGTGTCGTCGGTGTTGTACCCCCTTGATTCGACATCGCGTTTGGATGTCCAATGTAGTGCTCTGTACGACACATACAGCAGATACACGATTAGCGTCATCTCTAAACGTGTACGTACAGAGTAATCGAAACCGTACCTCCATCAGTCGGTGACGCATCTTTCCCATCGTTCAAGCTGCGTATGGAACAAGGTTGCGTGGGTGGATCCTCTGGAGCTTGACCACGATCGACCTGCTGTGTCTCCACTGCCGTATTCACGTTTCCGCCTGATCCACTTTCCCCTCCTTTTGGCGACTTCGACTGCTGCTGCATGTGACGCTGTTTCAGCTCCTCTAATACGATAGCACATACAGCAGTATTAGGACAGAAGCATATTTGACGTAATGTTAGCCGTACCAAGGTCCGCGCGATCCAAGTACTCCATCAGGTCATCCTCCCCCACGAAGTAATCACGCCCACGCACCCCTCCCCGCTTCTTCTTTCCCGGCATTATGTAGATGATGTCGTAGGACAGTCCAGTCGACTGCTGGGATTTCCAGCCCACTCGTGCAAGCTCGCGCCATCGCGCTTGAAAGGCCATTCGCTGCCAAGCCGGCAATTCTGAAAGTGAGAGGGAGAAATGAGTGGCGGCTGGATTCACGCCCATCAAATATCATATGCGATATGTTGGCACTCTCTTTCTGAATGTTGGCATGCTTATGTCCTCATGATCTGTCCTTGTTCACAATGAGGATTCACTCGGGAGGGAAAGGGTATGGCACCTAACCCTGGTTGACTTCAACTTTGTATAGTCCCATACAAACTTTGAGTCAAAAATCCTTAACGTGGACCGTACACGTTAAGAAAATCGTGATAACATGTACGGTCCACGCTCTCGCGTTCAAGGGGTTAATCTTTGTGAAACGCGATGGAACAGCATGCAGAGATGTTTTGCGTCGCTTTTGCGTGTCCGAGCCGCACTACTTCAATTTGCCATGTTTTACGGCAATGACAACGATTTCCCTGAGCCGCTCCGCGTCTTACGTGATTCAGAGTTTTGGAGAAAATTATCAGCTGCCGAGGAAGCTATCCGTCCTCTTTCTAACGTTTCTAACATTTACAACGAGATGAAAGCACACTCGCGGATGTTGTGGTATCATTTCGCGATATATATCGTGGATTCCTCAGGGATGTTGATAGCTTGGGACTCGTATCGTTGATTGAGAAGCAGTGGCAGCAGTGTGAGCAGCCATTGGTGCTGCTGGCACTTTTCTTGCATCCTAGGTATGTTCGAGTTGCAGTAGCGATGCATAAAGAAGCGCTGACACTACGCTTGCTCGAGCGACTTTGTGGCTACGGGATCTATTACTACTGACGATATGTTAAAACCGAACACGAGCAAAATGTTGAGGGACAGGCTGCGGATCTCCACCCTTGATACCGCGGTGTGTTTGTCGACAGCTCTCTTGTTCGCTTTAATTGAAGTACTGTAGCTTTGCTGGCGATGTCAGGCCGAATGTAAAATTATCAAACTTGCGGTAGTTATTCTACCTATCGCTGTTAACTCCGGCCACCGATGAAATATATTTTAGCGAGCTCGCAGCGATTCAAACGGCGCTGAGCAACAGGATGGCTGCTGAAAAGGCACGGACGTTCTCGCTAATTCGTCAGGCAATTCGGCTGCTTGATAAAGCTAAGATTGATACGAAGGCATGCACCAAATTGAAGTGCATCATAGGTGCGGCCGAAAAAAAGCGCATATGCAACTGTGACGTGGTCCATGCCGTCACTAGCGAAGAACTCGAGGTAGACCACATTATTGAGCACCAGGCTCGGATACTCTTGAATATTGGCAGGATGCCTTCGATGTTTTTAGACTCGTACGAGACTCCGTCAGACTGCAAGGTAGTAAACGCCAAGAAACATTACCAACGAGTCGATTTCCAAAGGATCGGATAGCTTTCAAGATGAAGAACTGCTGCAGAAGGTATTCAACGGATTTGATGAAGCCATTCTCGAGCCAGATACTACGCCATTTCCACGATCCAACGTGAGAGCGTTTTCACAAGAAACAAAGCTTTCTGAAATTCGAGGCCAAACGTTTTGTCTAGAGACGCTCTTCCCCTCAGAAAGCACGTTTGGATTGGATCCGTGCATGGCAACGCTTCATTTGGAATAGACCATTTAAAACCTGATACTGTTGAATCTCGAAATTGCTGTTTATATTACCATCATCCAAACGCGTTAAGATGCTGCCGGGCTCCTCGCGCGGCTTGTTGACCTCTACGCTATAGCACCCGCTTGGCTCGCTGCACCAGCTTTGTGCGGTTGTCCTCGATGATCTCGTTCTCCTCGTCGCTCTCATATCGAACATCGAACGATTCATCAAGGGTATCGTCCTCCTTCTCCTTGTCATTGAGTTCGTCGAGCCGGGTCCCCAATTTCTTCTCGAGCGCATCGATCGTCAGCTGTAGTTGCGTTTCGATTTGCTGTACTGCGTCGGAGAGGTGATGTGCTTCAGCTTGAAGATTTATCTCCAGGTCAGTCACAGTAGATTCATAGACGCTTGTGTTTGCAATAAGACTAGCTTTCTCCTTCGTCAACTCAGCAGCTATATATTGGTTCTGTTCAAACGTTAGTTTTGCGGTTTCGGTCTTTTCTTCGGTAGATATCTTGTGAGTCTCCGTCTCGGACCACTTCGCTCGAATCGACTCCAGCATCTCCATCGTCTCGGCCTCCGACTCCTTCAGACTGGCAATGGTCTCCTCTGCCGTCTCACACTTGGCTTTACGCTGACTCTGCAGCGTCTGTAGCTCCCCTTCCAACGCCGGGATACGCTCATGCAACCCATCTGCTTCGGAGGTAAGCTTACCGATTTCAACTCCCTTGTCGCTCAATTCTCCTGTAAAATCCTCCACACGAATCTCCGTCTCTGCTAATTCTTGCCGAACTGATGTCAAGCATTCCTTCACCTCAGCGTCCGACGTCTTCAGCGCACGGATCGTCTCTTCAGCGGACTCTAACTCACTCGAGTGCTGAGTGACCAAGTGGTTCTTCTGAGCCGCCAAACTCTCGATCCGTTCTCCCAGCTCGTCGTTTTGGGTGCGCATAGCCCCGTGTTTAATCTTTAATTCACTCAACGCCTTCGTCACCGTGTCGTATTCAGCAGTCCGAAAGCTCAATCGTGACTCAGAGCTCGATAACATATTTTGGGTGGCTTCGAAAACATCCGTAATTTCATTTATCAGCGCCTACACTGTCTCCTCTGCAGCTTGAGCATGCGCTGCGATTAGATTGCGTAGCCTCCAGTTCAGTATTCACCAATTGGCTCTTGAGCTACAGATCACCATGCTCCGAGCGCAGAACCCCCAGCGCTAGATCTCTCTTGCTCACCGCCTTCTTTGCAGCATTCGTCGACTAGCGCCATCACGAAGCCTTCCGCCTCTGCGAGTTCCTGACAAAGATATGTCAACGTTTCTGCTTCCTCCGCCTCCGCAGCTTTCACGCTCGCGATGGTCTTGTGTGCAGCAGTCTGTTCAGCCGAGTCGGTCTCGTGCAGCTCTTTCAACTCCGTCTCCAATGCAGCAACCTTCTCCTGGAAGTCCTCTTGAAGCGCACTCAGCGTCTCGTGAGTCGACTCCTGTTCGTTCGCGTGGCGTCACGTTCCTTCTCCAGGGCTGCAGCACGCAACTCTGACTCCGCTAGCTGCTCCTGGATCGATTGTAGAGAAACTTCGAGTTGAAAATACGATTCCTGAAGATCATTAACCACTTCCTCTGCTTGGGTCTTGGATTCTTGGAAGATCACGTAGCATCTCCTTCGTGACTTCTGCATCGGCTGAGAGCTTACTCCGCAGCGTGTTCAGCTAAATTTCATGCTTCTGCGCTGCGAGCTCTAGCTCTCCTCGCTGGGAAGTCATCACCTTAATTTTCATATCCTACGCAGTAAGATCCTTTCGTGCTGCGTCTTGCTCTTCCACCAACACCATAACGCAAGACTCGGCTTCAGCCAGATCCCGCTTGAGAGACTCCATTGACGCCGTTACCGTCGTCTCAACATCCTTTCGTGACCGAATCGTCTCGTCAGCTGCGTCAGCTTCCTCTGAATGCTTCTCCTGTGTGCTTCGGAGTTCAGCTTTAAGGTCTTCGACTTGTTTTCTGCATTTCCTCACGTTGAGCAGTCGACCCGTTGTACGGCTTCTGCTGCAGTAATAGATTTACAGCATCTCTCTCCTCCTATTACTACAGCAGCACGAGACTCAGCTTCAGAGAGCTCGTCGCGGTCAGCTTGCAGTGACTGTAACGCCCTCTCCGTCATCTGCTATAAGACTGTATTCTTGTTCTCCACAGTCGGATTGTCTGCGACTTGAGACTCCAGTTTGACAGCATCGTCATGAGAGCTGAAGTTGAAGGTCTTGAATAGTTGCCATAGCGCAGATGAAAGACTTGAACGCTGGATGGAGGGGCAAAGCCTCCGGGATCTTGGACACGACGCTAGGTGGGGAAGTGGAGCTTTCACGAATGAAAAAGACTCTCCTCACAAGCCTCGTGTCCTCACGGATCCTACATACATTATATGTAGCATTCTAACTAGAGAGCCTTATTATATCGAAGGACGTGAGCATAAGACTCAGAGGAATTTTCCGACACTCCCCCTTACTCGCGTCACGCTACCTTTACGAACTCCGTAGTCTTTAGAACTCAAGTAAACATGCGACCTTCGCTTAACCAGGTGAACGTCACCATTGACCCACGACCCTCGTGGATTCTGGGGCTGAACACTAACATCGTTGACTCGGGCGCACATTACGAACATTGGCGACGCTTAGCTCCGCACTACGAACATCGTAGACACGCGAACGTCGCGAAAAATATTTTTTTCAACGAGCACATCGTTGTCAGCCTTGCACTAGTCGCATCTACGAGGATTGACTACTCCGATCGATTGCCTCTCTCTTGAGACTTCGCCAAGATCAGCACTAATACAGTAGCTTCATTGTCTTGTGAGGGCTGCATACTATCCTCCCCTGATTCTCCTCGGCAACCAACACCAACAAGTGATCGGAAATACTGGAATTTTACTCGTGCGAGTGGCTTGGTTAAAATATCTGCGATCATTTCGTTGGTACCGCAGTGCTGCTCTTGCAGTCGCTCACGATCTTCAAGGCTCCGCACGTAATGAAACCTGTTTTCAATATGCTTACTGCCATTGTGCTTTCCTTGCTTCTTCGACAATGGTATTGCAGCCGTGTGATCGCACCAAAGTGTTGGAGTGTTGTATTTCCACAACAATTCATCACACAGACCACTTAACCACATAATATCGCGTGCACCTTCATTCATTGCGATATATTCGGCTTCCATGGTACTTTGAGCGTTAAGACCTTGCTTGCGAGACCCATACGAGATGACACTACCATTGATCATAGTAACATATCCACTTACAGACTGTCGATCAATTTTGTCGTTTGCGTAGTCCGCATTACTAAAAGCTTCCAGCCACTGCAACTCCAGCTTGTCCACTCCTGTCACTTCCATGTTCAGTCCATACACCTTACTCGCCTTCAAGTAACGAAGGACCCGCTTTGCCCGTGCGTAGTGAAGTGCTGTGAAGCAAGAAAAGAACTGTCCTAGTCGACGCACGACGTGAGCGATATCCGGCCTTGATCCCGACACGATATATTGCAGTGCTCCTACTACTTCACGGAACGGCAAACTGCTTGTATCACTAGCATTTTCAACAGTAGGTTCTTCTTCAGTGGATGTTGGTTCTGGTGTAGCAATTCCGTGGCACTCGTGCATATGAAATCTTCGGAGAACTTCATCAATGTAGCTAGCTTGGCTGAGCTATACCTGGCTCTTCTCCCGATCAACAGTGACTTCAACTCCGAGAAGATACTTAACTGGGCCAAGAGCCACAACTTCAAAGCTTGACGCTAGTTTTCGTGCAATATCTTCGCAGAGATAATTCTCCCCCATCAAAAGTAGGTCGTAGACGTAGACGGTTAGGAGCATAACAACCCCCCTTCTCGAGGAGAGAATAAAGGCCGTCATCACTTTCCATGCGAGCAAATCTAAGCGCAACCAAATGAGTATGCAGCATCTTGTTCCACGCATGTGGTGCTTGTTTCAAACCGTACAGAGATTTAACCAATTGACAGATCTGCTGATTTCCTGTCGAACCGCAGCCTTGAGGTAACTCCATGAACACCACCAATAACAATTTACCATGCAGAAAAGCCGATTTAACATCATACTGCAAAATTGACCACCGCCAGGGTACTGCAAAGTTAATAGCTACTCGGATTGTGTCAAAGCGAATGCCCCGGGCGAAAGTTTCATTGTAAGTGACTCCAAATCTTTGCTTAAAACCATGAACGACAAGACGTGCTTTAAATCTCACCACAAACCCGTTTTCATCTTTCATCACAGTATATATCCACTTGTTAGTGATAACAATCTCCTTTCCAGCTTTTGTTCGATTCACCACCCGCCAAACCCCACGTCGGCGCAGTGAATTTAACTCTTCTTCCATTGCCACTTGCCAGGACTCCTCGAATGCCGACCGAATGGCTGAGTGATGGTCGCTCCTCGGCTACGCCGAGTGGTGACCATTGTGATGAAGGAAGTAGTCGTAACAACAGTAAGTTGCAGGGACTGAAAGTCCAGCAGGGGAGAAAACCGAGTGCTGCTGCTTGCTCTTGACGGCGCAAGTTGTCGAGTGTGTAGCAGCACACGGAAAAACCCCGGTAACATATATTGGTAGGATTAGCAGTAGGATGGGGCTGGCGGCTCGCCAGCCAATGGTCCGTCGAAGTCCGGCTTCTGGACGCGAGCATCGCGTCCTGGAGGCACCTGAGCCTCAGGTTTGAGCTGGACGCAGTCCTGGCTCTTCCTCCACACTTCACACTCCCACTTGATCTAGTCGAAGCGCAGCTTCATCATGATCACCTTGTAGAGCTCACCACGATGTTCTTGGCATCTTCTAGCTGCGCTGCAGCACGACGCTTCGTCCTTGGTAGCGCTCTTCCTCCTTCTTGTCCTTCGCATGCATGAACGGGTAGTAGTAGCTTGCATTCACGCATGGCGATGATGTTTGGCTCCCACTGAACGAGCTGAGCCTTGCTGACGGTCGATGCGCAGCACCTTCATCCCATCACGGCAATGTTCGAACTTGTCCTTCGGCAATGGCTTCGTCATCGCGTCGGCGATCATGTCGTCGGTGCCAACATGGCGAATCCGTAGCTGCTCGTTCTCCACGAGGTGGCGCACCAAGTGGAACTTGTTCATAATGTGCTTGTTCTTGCTGTGCTTGCCAGGCTTGGCAGTCAGATAGATGCACGACTTGTTATCGCCGATAATCTCCGGAGTCGCGAACTCCCAGCATAGTTCTTCACAGAGTCCACGTAGCCACTGTAGATCTCTAGTGCCTTCATTCATGGCAATATACTCTGCTTCCGTTGTGCTCTGTGCGTTAATCTCTTGCTTTCTTGATCCGTACGAAACCACGTTACCATTGACGAACGTCACGAACCCGCTAACACTCTTTCGGTCATCAGGGTCATTAGCGTAGTCAGCATCGGTGTAACTCGTCAGCTTGACGTCGTTCCCAATAACAATGTCCATCACTAAGCCGTGGTCTTGAGTACCACTCAGGTAGCGTAGCACCCTCTTTCCCATAGCGTAGTGTGTGTGGTCGAAGCAGGACAGGTACTTGCTGAGATTACGCACAGCGTGCGCAATGTCCGGCCTTGAGGCTGAGACCAGATATTGTAGTGCACCAACGAGCTCTCGGTACGGGGGCGGGGAGTCATCTTTCGCATCTGTGACCACCTCAGCGCGCAGCGCTTCCGGTGTTGCAACCGCGTTGCACCCCTCCATGTGAAATCGCTTTAGCACCTCTGTAATATGTTGCCGCTGGCAAAATACCGCATGTCGACGCTCGCTGTCGATCAGTATCTCCACGCCTAGTAGATACTTGACTGGTCCGAGAGATGTGAGTTCATACTCCTCACTGAGTTGCTTAGCAACCTTAGCGCAAAGGTCATTAGGGCCGAGGAGCAGTAGGTCGTCGACGTACACCGTGAGCAACATGGTGACTTCTCCTCCCACTTTCCTGGCGTAGAGTCCGTAGTCAGAGTCGAGGCGCTCGAGTCCGATCTTCGTCAGGAACTTGTGCAATGTCTTGTTCCAAACGCGAGGCGCTTGCTTTAGCCCATACAAACTCTTCTGTAGCTTGCATACATAGCGCGTAGAGTCTTCTCCGAAAGCCTGAAGGCTGCTCCATGTAGACCTCCTCGTCGAGATCACCGTAAAAGAAACGCGTTCTTGAGTCAAACTGCAAGATGGGCCATCCGCGTTGCAGCGCGGTATACCGATCACGCATCTGAACGTCCTCAAATCTGAAAAAAAGTCGAAATGTTTCATATGAAGGCGATGGCCCATGCTTTTTTACAATGCCCTCTGAGCACTAACAAGCTTTAAATCGTTTATCCGCGCCCCGAAACTCTCTAGTAAGCGGGTAGCCCGAATTGCGATAGCTGGCTGCCTTGGACTTTGGACCACATGACT